ATTTTTTGCTTCCTCATCACAATTAATGAAAAATGGAAAAGTTTCATCAAAATCAAACCATAAAATTTTGAGAACAAACTCAATTCTGTGAGCACATACAAGATGCACTAGCAACCTTGAGACACTATAATACAACAGATGAACAGAAGAAAACTTTTTATTTTGAATATGAACAATTAATAAATAGAACTGGAAAGGATATTTTTAGGAAAACATAAAACAACCAGAAAAATAGTAGTAGTGGAAAAAGAGGTTTAATCTGTATAGCTGATGAGCAGAAAATCATAAAATTGTAATAGCTTACAACTATGAAGGAAAAAAATCCAGCTAATTATTTTAAGCTTAACTTTGACAGAATAAAGTTTCACTTAATTTTTCATGTTTATTAAAATTAAAATGGAAATAAATATGATGAATTCTGTAAATATATAAATAATACAGAAAAATATATACAAATAAGTACAAAATTAAAACAAAAATTCTAAAAACAACTAATGACAAATATATACAAGGTCATACATGTTTTAAATTAAACTGATGACATAACAGTTCTAAATAATTAGAATCACTGGGCTAGTATCAGTAGTTAATAGAAGGTTAACTTATCAAATGTCAACAATAAAAATAATAATAGCAGTTATTTACAGTAGTTAATAGAAGGTTAACTTATCAAATGTCAACAATAAAAATAATAATAGCAGTTATTTATATCTATTGCAATCTAATATTAAATTAATACAATTTTTTCTTAAGTTAAATGGTGTCAGTTAATGTACACAAAAGCCAATTAGAGCTGCCAACTTGTCTAGTAAAGCAAAAAATGCTATTTCTGCAGCTGCAGGAAAAAACATAAGCAAACATATAACAGGTTAATATAATAATATATTCTTTAGTTTTTTACTAGACACATTTTTTAAATACAATGTTTGTATATTTTGTAAGATTTAAATAAATCTATACAAATTCCTAACAGGCTAATTCTCATCATTTTTTAACTTACAACAGTAATTAAGTATATGGAATTTCAGAAGTAAAAATGCTATTCTAACACTTACATCAATGACAAACAAGTTGGGATATTAAAAAAAAAAAAAAAAAAAAATCTAATATTGTTTCTCAACACAAAAAATCCATTCATATTTATAACTTAAACTATATTACAGAAAGATTTTTAAAATTTTAGATTATTTCAATATTTAATTTTATAATTGCAATATGATATTTTCTATCTGTACACATTATATACAAAATTTATACTTTTATTATCCAATCTAACATTAAAATATAAATAATATCATATAAAATCAGTAAATGTATATTTCAGCTTAAAAAATGCATAAAGAATTTCAACATTTATTAAGTCTGACTAGAATAACGGTTGTTAATCATTTTTGAATAATTCTGATTACTTATCTTTTAAATATATTATAAATTTGACAAGATGCAAAACTATTAAACAGTACTCATTAATTAAATAAATGAAAAAATTTAATAAATTATTGCATCCAACTCTTTCTTACTGTTAAAGATATAATGAGTAAAAATCTATCTAAAAGCACATCATACTTTTATTTTTCTTTCCTTTTTTTTTTTTTAATAATTTAACTTATAAAATTAAACTACAGTCAATTATCTGAAACAATTCAAAACTGGGGTTGTTTGGATAACTGATCACGTATGAAAAAATATATTAACCTATCCCAATTAATCTGTTGTGTGTCACTTCACGTTGAATTTTCGTCAATCTTGAGCCTAGCGAAAATTTTTAAAAAATAATAATTGTGGCTATTGTATCATTAAAAATTATTTCTTTATTTTGCACAAACAAAATAAATATATTGAAAAATATAAAAACAAAAATATTATATTTCAGAAGTTAATCTAGTATCAAAAACATTCCGATTCAGGACGACATACATCCCAACAGCACAGTCCTCAGAAAAACACCACATAAAACAAGCAAAACTTTCTTTTTCTTGGGATTATCTGGAGATGTCAGCCGTTTGGGCTATATTCTCCGACAAGCTGAAGCAAAACACACTACTCACAATGGGAAAAAAAGCCTCGTTCAAATACTGGAGTGTCCTTAAGAGTACCCTCTCAACGTGTGTTGTGCTAAATCGGAACGTTTTTGATACTAGATTACTTTCCGAAATATAATTTTTTTGTTTTTATATTTTTCAATATATTTATTTTGTTTGTGCAAAATAAAGAAATAATTTTTAACAATACAATATAGTTGCACCAGTGCTGTCAGCTGAAACACACACACCAACAGAAATAATATTGGAATAGCCCAAGACATAGCCAAATATTGCAGCACCACAGCACTAGCGGATATTGGAATTTGCTGACTGGAATGCTTTCAGTTAACCAATGTTTCGGTTGATCAGTATTCAGATAATCAATACTCTACTGTATATATATTATTCTAATTTAAAGCTTTTATTTTTGAATTTTTAACTTATTTTTTTTTATTGAGTTGTCACACATCTTGAAGAGACTATTTAGAATGAAATATCTTACTCATATTTCAAATTTTCTATTGTCTTATTACTATTAAATTTTGTTATATGATCATACTCATTTGTAACACACGTCTTACTTTTTTACTCCCTAGTTTAGACAAAGTCTTAATTTTTAAATTCAATATATCTACTAGAAGACTGTAAACATTCTGCATTATAAATCTGGGAGATTTAAACTCTGTAAATTACATTTATAGGATCACTTAGTTATTATATTCTGGGTTTGTGTTATGGATTATACATTTTTCTTATTTCAGTGTTTTTTTTGTGAGTGACTTTCTTTAACCTGTTAGATATTGCCAGAATTGTTAAGGAAAAACAATCTACATTACATTGTATTCAATGAAAACATTTATTTAATTTTTTAGAATTTTTCTGATTGATGAATTATGATTGTGTTTTAAAGCTGATTTTAACTGAACGGTTAAATTTCAACACTTCAATTTATTATATACAATTATTTTTTTTTCATTCAGCATTTGCATGAAATAAAAATGAGAAATAATGATTTAGGAACTGAAAATAAACAATTGTAATTTTTACAGAAAACTATTTAATTATAATTAAATAATATAATTCAATGATAATAATAAAATTCAATCAAAAGTTTCTTAAATGATATTTATCTTTGCATATTCTGAAACTGTTTTCTTTTTATCTGTTTTTACTGTCACAACTAGGTGCATAGACAGATACTAGGCATTTCTGACATTAATCTTTATTTGGAAATACCTTGTCGGTCAACAAAATATTCCCAAATAAAGGTTGATGTCAGAAATGCCTAGTGTCTGTCTATGCATCTAGTTGTGATAGTAAAAACTAATAATTATCTATTTAAAAAATATAAAAATTTCACAAATATACAAAAAAACGTGTTTTTGTTTTTCTTGATGTTAAAGAAAAACACCAGTAACAGTCCAAAACTATTTTCACATACAGAGACAACCTTAGATAATTATCTAAATGGTGTCAAAATTTTAAATTTTGTACAGCTTATTTATAAAAATATGCAAACATCAAAATTCTAAAAAATATCAAACACAACAATACTCTTAAAATTAGTACGAAGACAAAAATATAGTTTTCTGTTGAATTTACAAAAAAGTTAGCAAAAACAATTAATTAACCTATCACTTCTAAAAATTTAGAGTTGATGAATAGTGAACAGCTTGAAAGACTGAATACAGTAAAAAACTGGAATTAAAATTTCCTATTCCTTGCTCTAGATCCAATAATCCAAATTTCACAATGACAAATTACCACATCTTCAAAGTTACTGTAGAATATCAGTAAGAACTATTCAAAGTCATGACCATATGTAAAAATTAAATATTGAAAAAACTAAATATGAAACTTCACAATTCAATCTTGAATTTTCAACCTGAAAACGGAAGCATTAGTGCAAAAGCAATCTAAGTGATTCATATGATCATATGATAATGGCTTTACAACTGTTATTTATTATAAATTTATTATCTTCCTCATTCCTAATCCAAATCATCAACTTTTAATCATTTCAAAACAAATATTTTTAACATTTTGTATATGGAGAAAATATTTCATCCCCAATTTAACAATATCTGATGTTCAGTGATGATAAAAAACAACATTATACTTTATATTATAAAAGGGATTGAAACCATCTATATCAAGCTACAAGAATGAACCTTTCCTTTTAATTCTTACTGTATTTTAATCAGTTCTGTGATTAAACTTTGATGGTCTGACTTAATGTCATCTGCCACATGTAATTTTTAGATAAGTCTATATAAGTTGTCATCCTCAGACATACAATTTTTTGTAATTTTTTCAAAATAAAAGATTTCATACTCATAAAATCTAGACTGATGTAGTATATGTATGAATGAAATAAATCTTATTTATTATCTTGAAGAGTATTAAATGTTATCATTATGTAAAAATTTTAAAAATTATGTTGTTCATTTTACAAAGTTGGTTTGATATACTGAGAGAATTTCATGCTGAAATTGGTCTTCATATTCTCATTGTATTTTCACAAATAATACAAATATAAATTTCATATCTTCAAATAATGAGGAAAAAAAAAAATCAGGCAAATTAGAAATTTATATCTAATAAATATTTTTTTCATAGCAGTAATTTTCATTAAATTATTATTGCTATTTCATTTCAAATATATTTACAGCAATTCTCAAAAAATTAAATTAATATGCCTGCTAATTGGTTATCTCTTAAAGCAGCAGCAGCAGCAAGTAGTCCTGATGTAACAAGTGGTTACCTAGCTGACTAGCCATTAATAAAGTCAGCTCAGATAAATCATGAAATCAAAATTACCAAATGAAATTGCAGTGATATAATTAATAATAACATAAAAACTGGAGCCAGATTTTATTTTATTTCTTCTAACAGTTTATCTTACAATATAATAACTTAAATTATTTAACATTAAACATATGTAAGTTTTTATAAAATCCAACGAAACTGACTTACCAGTATCGCAATCTTTTGCTTTGTAAACTTGTCCATATGTACCTTCTCCAATTTGACATATGATATCAAATACATCAACACAGCGTTCACCCCAATTTGGAGATCGATTAAACTCATTGTACATTTTATTGACAACACTAAATAAAAATGAAACTTTTATTACATTTCCATGTAAACCAAAACAAGAAATATTGGTCCATATTTTATAATTTAAAAAGAAAGTAAGGTAAAAAATTAAGTCTTGTATGAGAAAGAAACATAACAAGTATAACTACTAAACAATTATGATTTATGCCTGCTAATAGTACAGAAGTAACATATTTTATACTTCCAAAATAATCATAAAATATGATAAAGTGCGTAAGTGTCTTAAGGCATGACCACACATTTGCTATTCATGAAATGTTGAGTAAACATTTGGCAAATACAGAGTAGTGTGAATAATTTATTCACGATGAATGTTCAGTATTTGCCATTCCCCAATTCTTGTTGATAAACTATGCTGAATCAGAAAAGACGAATATTTGCCTCCATGCATTTGTGCTCACTATTCATCTATTTTCTTGCCTTTAGTTATCAGTAATGCTATTTTAGCCTTTTTTAAAACTAGATGTAGCATTCAGTTTATTTTTTATTTTTTCAATTTGGTTTATAGTTTAAATATTTATTTTGCTTTCTACATAGTTTTTTCTGATTTTTTTTTGAAATATAGTTTCAGTGTGTTATTTTAAAAAAATTTAAGTTCACATTTTTCTGATTCAATGAAGTGATTCTATCCATTATCTTCCTTTTTAGGCTTTCCCCCATTTAACAGATATGAATTACATAACTGTAAAGGTAGCAGCAAAAATTATTGTTTGAGAATTGTCCATTGTCTAGAACTTAGACAAACTTTTGTTGTTCCTGTAATAAACCAAATGTTGGCAAATAATCGAATTTATGTACAGTTGTGCTTACCAAGGAACAAACAATTTGACAAATAGTGAATATGTGGACACACCCTTATGTGTGCGTGTGTGTGTACACACAGATAACCTCCATATAACACAGGAGTTACGTTCCAAAAAATTGCCGTGTTATGCGATCCGTGTTATACGAAACAAAGAACTAGTGCGAAAAGGGGGGTTAAGTTCCAAAAATTAAAAAACAAGCTGTTAAATTCTTATTTAAATCAGATTTATTATTCATTCTTTTTCATAGGTAAAATACTTATTTATTTAAGTAAATATTTTACCAGAGGATTATTCATTTTATATGATGATCTCAGCATGAGCATCATCAACTGGTAACAGTTTTTGGGTGCATTTGTTAATAGCAGTCGCTCCACAACAGGAGTGTGCTGCTGTTTGTAGGCATTTAGGAATGACAGCGAAAGAAAGATGGCAGTGCCCACACTATCAATAGTATCGTGTGGAGGAATCTATAATTCTAAAATGAGCTTTTAGAAGCAATAGTAGTCCCAATTGTAAAATTTAACCATTAAATGGATTATTTGTTGAAAGAGCATTCAAAGTAGCCATGAAAACAATCAGAATGCTCGCATGGAGTTACACGGAGGTATAAAATAACGCACCCTTTATTATATTTTATGTTGTACGAGGAATTTACCCAATTCCCGAACCAGGTGAAGAGTGAATCTGTGCTATAGAAGTGCCATGTTATACGGGGGTTACCTGTACATAAAACCTAATTTAATAATTTTTGTCTTAGGAAATAAAAGTTAACTAATCTCCTGGAATTTTGTAGAATAAAAAACACTGAATAGAGATGTCATTTTAACAAAACAATTATCTATTATTTACATTTTATTATACATTTCACTCTCTTAATTATTTATATTCATGGAGTTCCATATTTGTAATGAATCAACTTAGTTGTAACTGTAACAGAGAAAATTATATTTCTTAAGACTATACATACAAGATGAGTCAATTTCTTTCGATCCCTTCACATGCTGTTGAGGTAATAACAGTTCCACAGCAGAGTTGACCTTGTTTTAAAATGTGTTTATTAATTTTATCTTTGTGCTACCACTAGAGGACTATTTTAACTTTTATGCATTGTAAGGTGGATGAGTAGCCTACAATAAAAGGTCGACTCCACCGTGGAATTGTTATCATCTCAAAAACATGTGAAGGAATTGAAAGAAATTGACTCATCTTGTATGTATAGTCTCAAGAAATATAATTTTTTCTGTTAAAGTAAATTCGTCCTGGCAATTTTTTAAAATGTATTTAGTAGTAACTTGTTTTAAAATGGCCCTACTAATATAATGCGTTATATTTCTAATACTGGTTCTGTATTTTTGGATAAAAATTTGATTGACAAAGGCCAATTAAAGACTAACAACATAATACATTTTCTGTGAGTCTTATTAGATAAAGTTATTGTGTCAATGTAAACCTCTCAGTATTGTCTAAAAACTTGATAATGTGTAACTAAATGGTTAACTAAGTTACTGAGAAATGCTTTCCTGAATGGTTGATCCATTCACTCTTAAGTGTTTAAAAAGAATTTTTTTAAATTGCAATATTTTGCACCTAGAATTGATCTTTTTTTTTTATTTTTTTTCACAAACATACCACTAACATTGTTATATTGTTAAAATTTTACCACAAAGGTTAAAAGTTTTACATAGAATTGGAGTATAATTGATTTTTTTAAAAATTAGTTTATCAAAACTCCATTTATTTATTTATAACATCAGCTAGTTGAAGCAATCCATCAGAAAAAAAGCAGATTCAAATGGCAGTTACATTATCTAGGTCACACATGTCTCTGAAAGCTACCACCCCCTCCTGCCGTCATAACATGATGTTTATTTTTGGTTGGATATGGTTCCAACACTTTTCATAAATTTTCTGATTAGTTTAATCATTAAATGAATATTAATTATTTTATCTAACTAAAGGAAAATTAAAATTCCAGAGAGTTTATTAAAAAATTGTATCAAAACCCCATTCAAGTTAAACCATTTGATAATTTCAAGTTAACCAGTTTGATTTAACATGTAAATCACTATGCTAGACAATAACAGAAAGAAAATAACTTCAACAAATGGTGGAATATCAGCACCGTAGTAATGTAACACCAACTCGTATCTCTAAGCCTTTTACTGGTGCACGTATTATCTCATCCTCTACCAGTTACAAATGTTTTCGAACCGTTACGGTTCTTCTTCAGGTACCGATCCCCTAACAGAACGCAGTTCAACGATGTTACGAAATATGATCCGGAACGATGTCCCGACCCGATGACGTCACTATGGACAGGAGACCTCTGTGAAATAGTAGTGAGAAAACTTGAGTCAGAATTTCTCCCGAAATACCTCCCCAACATCCTAATATATAAGCGCTACATTGATGATATACTAATCCTATGGAAAGACGAGCCAAACATTAAGGCGCTGGTTGAGGATATCAATAACAACCTGTACGGCTTAACTATAGAAATAGACCAGGCACATCCTATAGAGGCACACTTCCTGGACATTAACATGACAATCGAAAGTGCAACCGTCCACCGCAAATCGACCTCAGATAGATTATATATACCAGCAGGATCATATGACCCTCCACAATATCAAGTCGCAGCATTCAAAGCCTTGATCGGGAGGGCGCACACACACTCCTCGTCCCAAATGGCACTTTGGTCCGAAATGAAAAGCATTCAGGATATAGCCAAACAGCACAGATACCACAGGCTCATATACAAACTAAATGCAAAAATGCAGGAGGAAGCTAACCGTCACAAACTCTCCGATGATACTCCTAGTAGCAACATCCCTATCACATACAATCCGGTACTAAATCCTTATACAAGGAGATAGCAAAGAAAAAGAATATCCGTATTACATTTAGAAGATGCGCTACGATTTTTGATTTGTTAAGGAAAGGAAAGGACACCCCAGACTGAAATACGCTTCCTGGCGTCTACACCATCCCGGTCATTTATCACAGGTGTGATAGAAACATGATCTACATAGGATCAACTAAATGCCTCTAATAACCCGGATCAAAGAGCATAAAGCAGATATCAACCATGAAAGAACCAACACAGCTCTTGCGATATACTCATCAGACCTGACATAGAACCCGTATTCTCGCAAGCAAAGGTCATTCACACCACCCACCACACGAACCACCTCAGATGGCTGGAGGCGATATACATATGCATAAACACGAGTGAAGGACGTTATTGCATTAACTAGAAGGACAAAATTGCTCCATCGACGGCCCGGCAGGCCCTAATAGATAAATCGCTAAGATAGAGCACGCCATGCATAACGCGCAAGTCCATAGTGACGTCATCGGGTCGGGACATCGTTCCGGATCGTATTTCGTAACATCGTTGAACTGCGTTCTGTTAGGGGATCGGTACCTGAAGAAGAACTGTAACGGTTCGAAAGCATTTGTAACTGGTAGAGGGTGAGATAATACACGCACTGGTAAAAGGCTTAGAGATATGAGTTGGTGTTAAAATAACTTCAAGTTATCCTGATTTGAATTAACTAGGTTCTACTGTACCAATGAAAACAACTTTGACTATAAAGCATCTATCACCCAATCAATTAATATTTTCATTTATTTATTCAGGTAAAAATTTATCTTCATTCAAATCCATTATATTTAAAAATTTCATGAATGATTTTTTTCATTTATTTATTAATTTAAATATTTTAAAAATTATAAAT